AGGTTACTCCTGTCTCTACCTCCTCAGCACTGGAATCATAAGCATATGTTGCCAAGCCAGGGTATTTTTAAAATCTGAGGTCTAAAGATCAAACTTGGGTCCTCATTATTACAAAGCAAGCCCCTTGCTGACTGAGCTTTCTTCATGTGTAGCGTTATTGTGAAAGACACTGGATGGAAGACTTCTCTATAGTCTGCAACAATCTGTAATTCTATCATTATAACAAACTTAAAAGTTATTTGAAACGAATTTACATCCTTAAGTAATTAGTTGTATAGGGCCTTTGAAGGGGTCTTTGAGGTTAAATGGCCCCCTATGAATGGGCCCTAATCCCATCAGATTGCTGATCATGTTTAGATAGAAGTAAGCTTGCAGACATGATCTTAGAGTCATGTGACCCTAGAGGGACAGCCATGTAATGAGTCGGTAGTATGATGCCCTTCTGTGAGCTACAGGGGGAAGCTTCAGGAAATACCTTGAACCTCTCCAGAACTGGAAAAAAAAACAAAAAAACATTTTCTGTGGTTTAACCTCTGTCTTAGTTAGGGCTTAACTGCTGTGAACAGACACAATGACCAAGATAACTCTTATAAGAACATTTAACTGGGGTTGGCTTACAGGTTCAGTGGTTTAGTACATTATCCTCAAGGTGTGAACATGGCAGCATCCAGGCAGGCATGGTGCAAGAAGAGCTGAGATTTCTACATCTTCATCTGAAGGCTGCTAGCAGAATACTGGCTTCCAGGCAGCTAGGATGAGGGTCTTAAGACCCACACCCACAGTGACGCACCTATACTAACAAGGCCACACCTACTCCAACAGGGCCACACCTTCTAATAGTATCACTCCCTAGGCCAAGCATATACAAACCACCACAACCTCCCAGTGCAGGATGTTTTGCTCAGCAAACTGATACACTGGCCCCATGGTTCAAGATTTCTGTTTATTTGCATTTGTCTTATTTGTCTAGCCCTTCAGCCATTGGCATCTCTTCTTAGGAACAGAAGAGAGGATGAACCAATTAAAGAAGGAAGCCTCTGGCTTTAAACATCCCTTCTATCCTGGCAAGTCTGGTACTCAGGGGAATCATCACACTTGCAGAGGGGGCCGGGCAGAAATGTATCTGTTGGGCCCAGAGTGTACAATGAGAAAGGGTTAGAAGAAGATGTAAAGAAGGGGGAGCTCCAGAACGGTATGAGGCAAACTTCCTGACGGCACTGAGGGCTATGGCTAATGAGAATGAAAGGAACGGACAGGTTTTATAGTCCAGAGCTCCTGAGCAGAAGGCAGACTCCACCAGCTTCTTTGTTCCGAGCAGCCTGGGCTCGGGTCTCACTTCATCTTTATACATAAGGAACAATGGCACATCTCTTTCCAGAAGCTTGATGTGAATATGAGCTAGGGCCACTCATGTCCTACCTACCCTCAAGCACCTATTCTAGTTTTGAACCCCACTATTCACGCCAACAGCACCCTCCCTTCATGGACTTCAGAGTCCCATCTCTGCCGCCATCATGCTCTTGGCGGTTCCCAAAGGCTTTAAGCCCTCTGGCGGAAGTCCTTGACTCCTGCTTGAGCCTGGATCACACCCCCACCACCCATCCACTGCCTTCTGAACAGATCTCAGACACACCGGGACATGGGACACTCTCACACCCCCAACCTGGCCGCATCCAGATCAATGATTTCGGAAAAGTAGTTTAGCCTACAGTTTACCCATGTGCTTCATTTACAACAGCAAAAATTCTGAAAGCTCCTCTCTAACCAGTGACAACATTATTAATATGGTGTATGCTCACAAGGGAATACTTTGTATGCAGCCAGAGCCATAGAAGAATATTTAGTAACATGGCGAAAAGCTCATAAAATATTAAGAGAAATGAAATTACAAAATCTTGTTTATTATAAGTACTGTGTTTGTTTTTTTTTGTTTTGTTTTTTTTTTGCTGAAAAGCATATCAATGCAGAAAAAGAGACTAGAATAATATATACTATTGAGCCAGGAGTAACTATTGGCTCATTATTATTATTATTATTTTGTATAACACATGTTTAAAAAAAAAGCAAAAAAGCTTTGTCTTCTCGTTTCACCTTTCTCCTTCAAAAAAAAAAAAAAAAAGCCAAAGTAAAGAAAGTCCATGCACCATCTTACTTACAGTGTCATAAGAAGCAAGTGCCACTTGATGTGTTTTGAACTTGGAGAGACAAAAGGACAGCTAAGAAAACTAGGCTAATGGATGGTCACACCATGGAGCTAAGACATGACTGGACTCCTAAAGGACTGACTCCTGGACCTCAGGAGTGCACAAATGGGTTTTCACCAGAACCCTGCCCATTTGGTCCCCATGGGAACAAAGAGTGCCACGCGCCACCCGAGGGTCATTATCCAGCCGTCCTAGGAGGCTGAGTTCCGCACGCTGCTGTATTGAAATGTAGTGAAAAGGCTGCCAGCAGAGCTCAGTCCCCATTCATCCAGTTTTGTCCGGCGGTAATGAACTCCCTCAAGTCCCTCCTCACTCTAGAAAAGGACTGGCTTCAGAACAGGGCTAGCCTTGTGAGTGCGACCCATGAAGGAATCCAGGAGCTCTACAGGAGTTCAGCCAAGAGAGTCAGAGGAAAGAATCATTTTAGTTGTAAATGCTGAATGGACCTGAGCTGAGTTCTTTCATTTTTGTCTGCACATGGGAGTCTATAACCTGGCCATGGGTGTGTGGCTGGCACCCATCTGCTGACCTACAGGGCAGGCAGCTAACAACAGTCTGGTCTCAGATGACCTATAGCCTACAGAGTGCAGGCTAACCCTCCTAGCCTATACAGGTTACTTGGAAACAAGTTTATATTTTCCATTGTAATAGGTACATTGTTTCTGTCTCCAATCCAGTGTTAACTTAGGCATGTGACAAAGAAGACACTCTCTAGGCCTGCTTCTCTGGAGTCAAACTCAAGGGTAGCAAATATTCTCCCTTCTAAAACAATTCATATTTATACCTAGAGTTTCAGCTTCATTTTCTTCTGATACCCCTCTTCTCTGCAGTGTGTTCCCTTGGATACTTCTAAAAGCAAAGTTAAATGGCTTCCAGATCTAGAGCCTAATTAGAAGAGATAAATGTTGTGACAGTCTTATGACCATGGACATATCTTTATGGTTCCTGCCATAAATGAAACATACAGGCTATTTTCTGCATATGCTACAGTCTTCTGAAACTGCTCCTGGAGAATTAAAAAAAAAGCCACCATAAAGGCCAATCTGTGCAAAAGGCTAGCTCTTGGCTATTCCTTCTAGACAGACCCATGAAACCATTTCAGAGAGATCTAGAAGAGCTGTCTGCACAGTTGTGCTGTGCCACGGTTTACAATTTGCTCAGACAGACTAGGTCACTACACTATTCATATACTGTGCAAAAATAACACTCAACTGATTCTTCCATAGAAAATAAGAGGAGCCCAAATCTTATGGACTAGATCAGAAAATAATAATAATAATAATAATAGTAATAATAATATACCTTGCCTTGTTTTCTCCTATGAGTCTTGGTTCTATCTCCCATCTCCCCAAAAATCCAAATACCCCCTTTAGCATAGAAACCATACTTCATTTGACTGCTCAGAAGACAAATTCAGCTTTTCACTGGCCATTTCCTTCTGGGTGATGTGATCCATTACTGCTACCAGAAAACTACTCTCCCAAGGAGGTAGGGAAGCATCCTCAAACCAAAGACTAGTAATCCAGCTGTAGTTATGGATACCAACTTAGCAACTCAATGGAACCCTGCCCTCCCCCCTCCAGGTACAACATAAGCCTTAACCATATGGAGAAAGGGGACCAACGGGGACTGTGCATCTTTGCTTCAACAGTTCTAAGCTCTGTGACACAAAGATGTCCTAACTGGCTTTGCCTTGGATAGGGTAGGTTTCATGTTCTACTTTTCTCTCATGCATAGCCTCCTCCTACAGAAAGGTCATACATCGATCTACAATGCACTTGTTCAATTAAGGCATCAACTCTGTGTCAGGTCTCTGGCTTTATATGGGCTCCCTGACATCATATCTCAGAATGTTCAGGCTGTGTCAAGTAGGAGCTTGGTCGGTAAGAAGCTTATGCCAAATGTGGTTCAAATTCTATTTTAACTTAAACCCACATAATTAGTTATATACTTCAAGGCTCATGGCAGTCAGGCGACACCACACTCTCTCAGGTAGAGGTCATTCTTTCAAAGCTCCACATTCAGCGGTGGGAGACATTTTCACTGGAAGCAAATGTCTAATCAGCAAGTCAGGGCTAGAGATACTTGGTAAGTGATCATACAACTGTCCACCAGTACTTGGTCAAGGATACCATTTGTCACATGAGCAAATTGCTGTTTAGCTGTTTCTTGAAACCCTAGACCTTAGGGCTCTTCCATCTTTGAAGTATAAAATATCAGAACCTACTTCAGCGGAAAATAGTTCTTTAAAGTTTGCACACTCTTCATTTCTTCCTAATAACCAGTTCTTGGGCAGGTTTCTAGTTGAAACACTGCCAGAAGTTGCCAACTTTGAGTTATAACAAATGGTGACAACGTAGTCAATTGCCTCTTTAAGTCCAAAAAAAAAAAAAAAAAAAAAAAAAGAAAACAAAAAACAAACACACAAGAACAACAAAGCCAAGAGGCAGTTTTGATTCTTCAAAGTTAGGGTTTCCTAAATGAAGACCCCAAACAGACCTTGGTAAACACTAGAGAGTCTCAAATGCCCCTGTACCACAACACACACAAACAAAGTAGATTAACCCCAAACCCCTCCAGACCAGATCTTCCCCGCTGCAAGGTCTGCATCCGGTAAGAAGCAGGCAGCATCGAACCACCCATTGAAAAGATTTTCAAAAAATGGTCTAGTTGCATTGCTCCTAGATCAGGCATGTGAGACTTTCTGGTGATACAACCCTGGAGACCATTGCTCCAGAAAAATAGGGTTCAACTTTGCACCACTACACCAACCCAGACAGCAGAGGCAGTACCTACCTATGTAGAGCGAGGAGTCCTTCCTGCGTACGTGGTCATCAATGTAGGAGACCCCGAGGGGCTGCACGGGGGTAGCACCGATGCCCAGGAGCACCTGAGCCCCAATGAGCAGCAAGTACATCATGTTCGTGGCTGTCCGGTTACGGCAGATTAGGTCCGGGTCAGGCCCCTCATCACTGCTAGACCCATTGGTGGCACAGACATCCCGGCCTTCTGCTCCCCATCGAATTTCGCCAGCCTCATACTTGTACTGGTGGGTGAGAAATTCAGGCAGTGCCGAGAGCAGCGCGCCCAATGCCATGACGATTCCACCACAGCCGATGAGGCGCGGTCGGTGCCCACGAGCTCCAAAGTAACTTACGAAGAGAATCAGCGCCAAGTTGCCGATCTCAAAACTGCTGGCGATCACACCCACATCGGCGCTCTGAAGGTTGAACCTGCGTTCCAGGGTGGTCAACACGCTCACCTGAAGGTGGGAAAAGGAAAATTCAAAGTCCATCTCAGGAGACATGCAAAGGGACAACTGCTGCCCTTCTTGGACCCACCCACCTGCCTGGTGATGTGGCTCCAGATGCAAAAGGCAGGTAGAATGAATCAGACAAACATCGCCTTCATTTGATAACCCTAATTCAATGGAAGCATTTATTTTCTTAGTAGTAAAGATGATTTTTGCCAATATCTGTCTCTATCTTCAAGGGTTCCGTGTATCTCCGTAGAGGAGACCTAAGTAGCAGTCAGGAATAAGCTCAAAGTCCATGCAACTTTTCCAAATTCATGTTATATATGAAGTCTATGGATGTTCAAGAGCATTGGAACCAGAGGCTCTTTATACTAAGATACCAACCTCCAATACCTAACTAGCAAAGCAGACCAGCTAGTTTAGCTCAGAAGAATATTTTATTTATTCTTGCATGCCCCGTTCACTCTTCTGCAGGCCCTACACTAGCTAAGGAAACACACAGCCACTGAGTTACATTCCCAGAATTCTTTTCTCTTTTTGAGATAGAATCTTACTAAGTTGGCCATGATGACCTTGAACTCAATCTCTGTAGGCCAGGCAGTCTTTGTACCTAGAGGCTAGGTAAGTCTTGACCCTGTTTGAGCTTCCTTATAGCTGGGATCACAGTCTGACACAAACAGGCCTTGTAGTGGAATGATACTTAGCACCATTTACTTCTGGAAGTTTCTAAGTGACATAGGTTTCCCCCAAAGGTTATCTAATAAAACAAACAAACAAACAAACAAACAGAACCATCAAAATCCCTCTGCACTGTTGTAATCACTGTAGCCCTGCAGGGATGTTTTTATAGGATATTGTTATATTTTCCCTCTCTCTTGTATTCCTGTCTGCCTGTGTTTGTTTAACAATATTTACTAAACACATGCTATTTGCCTGGCAATGGCCTAGATAAAATGGACAGAAAAAATGAGGACACCTGGTCTTAAAAGGCCACCTGGCAGGAAGGTACACATAGACATGACTGAAACATAAATCCGAGGGGCGATATGCTATTAAAAGGCTCATTAGAGAGAAGATGGAATACTCCCCTGTTTGTGGGTACCGTGATGTGCTTCACAGGAGGACAGCTTTCCCTGTTATGAGAGATCTGGCAGATGACTGGGGTTCTCACCGTGCAGGGAAGAACACTTGAAGCAAAGCTATGAACAAGGGGAACATGAGTTCCTGATGAAGGAGAGAACTGACCCAGATCATAACAAGCCAGGAACACCACTGTGAACAATGGAGGAAATTCATGCCAAGTGGTGGTGGGAGAGCAGGCACACTGAGAGAAAACAGAGGTGAATCCGTGCTATTCCTTAATCTGCTGTGACCCCGGCCAACTCAATTACCTTCCCTCAGCTTTGATTCAGAGAAATCAGAATCCTAACAGCCCTACTGTGATGGATATGAACACAGAAATGATAATGCAAGTCTCCTGGCCAGAGAAGCCTTCCATTCCAGGGTGTGATGGAACAGAGAGATTAAAAACTACAAGGGCTAGGCCAGGTATCTGTGGCCAGACTACATGAGTCAATACTAACTCCAGGTGACCAAGTTACTTTGTGCTTTAACTCCCTCACTGTGAAAGGACAGTAAGATCTGGGGCCAGGATAAACCTAAACCGTACATGAGGGGATGCCAGGAAAGGACAAGCGATAGTCCTTATGAACATTCTGGTACTTCTCTGGTTCACTGGGAGCATCCAGGGTTTGAACAGCCTAAGTATCACACAAAGTAGTGGAAAAGGCATGCTGGAAAAATTAAGAAATAAATGTTAGTGGACCAAACAGACAGGCCCTTGTGGAAGTTGGGGAGTGTAACACAAGGGCCCTCACTGGCATAAGTGACAGATAAGAAAATGGGAGAGGCTTTATTTCAGACAGACTGCACTAGATCTTCAGACTGTTAAAGAAAGGGCTGGGAGGAGAGTCCAGAGAGCTAGTCTTCCTTTAAGATCATACACAGGGATGTGTTTATAAGCACCCAATCATCCACAATCTTCTAATCCTGTCCCATCTGCTGGAATCCAAGCACTTACCCAGACATCTGTGATAATGATGATAACTAGCGTGCCTCTGTGTGCCCTTACTATTAAAAGAACAGTGTGTGGCCAGGTCACCGTTCCTCGCTTCCTTTCAGGACATATATTTAAGCCCTTTAGCCTAGAGAATCTCAGTCCTGGTCAGAAGTGCTGAAGCACATGGTGAGCACCTGGGCTCCCACAGTGTCTGTGACTCAGCCAAGGTCTGGGGGTAGTTGTAAATCTGATTCCCAGCTGACGAGAAGGAAGGTGAGAGGCAGGCTGCTAAGGCGGTGGCACATCATAGGGATTTTTCTTTCAGTACCATTCCAAGGGGCCAGCCCCACAGAGCAGCTTTGGAGCATCTGTCACACACTTGATCAGCAAGGTTCCTATTCAGGGTCCAATTCCAACGTGCTTTCCAGCCAAGGGCAACCCACAACTCACTGGGCCCCACTCCTTTCTCTGAATAACAGATTGCAGTTGTTGAGAACAGAAGATAAACAGGCCCTGGCCTGGTTACAATGGCTCTTAAAATGCTCCCAAAGATGTGCTTTCTGAAAGCCCTGGGCAAGAGAAAAGAAAGGCTTCAATTATTCACATCTTTCTGATGTAACAAAAGCATGCACAGCAGACCAAATGCTCGTGCTTTAAGCAGGTGATGCTGTGGCGTGTAGGAGTAATTGGGTAGGTGGACTAACAGCCTGGGAGGTGGAGAGCAATATGCTGAGTCTGGAAAGATGACCAAAGAGGGCTGGATGAGAAGAGAGCTGGGACTAGTCAGGTCAGAGGGACCCCAGGCACTGATAGAGACACCAGGAGCAGAGAGCAGTCTGACGGTGTCTTAACATCGCATTGCTGTGACAAAATGCCCAAGACAAACAATATACAAGAAGATTTAACTTGTGTTTGATTCGAAGTTTCAGCCATAGTCACTTGACTTTGTTGTTTCAGGTCTATGGATAGGCAGAGTAAGAAGGTGGTCACCATACAGTGGAATAAAAATGCATAGCTACTACTTCACAAAGGCCAAGAAACAAAGGCCAGGAAGTAAAAAGAGAAAGGAAGGAAGAAGCCAGGAGGACCCAGGATCCCCTGTCCCCAAAGGATCATCCTAATGACTTAAGTATCCTTTCACTAGGCACTAACTTGGGAAGTTTGTCTACCTCCATACAACAACAGCTGCAATGAAGCCTTTAGCACACAGCCTTGGCCTTGGGAGCATTTAAGATGAAAAACCTCAACAGGTAGATCTGCAGGTGACATCTTCCACCACGGTGCTTGATGGCTGCTTGGTGCAGGAAGGGCTGAAGTGAAGTCTCATCTTAAATTCTGCCACGAGGTCTAAGGACAGACACAAAAGACAACATATCTGGAACCCTGGAGCCCCGATGAGGGCTCCAACTCAGCAAACATGCTCCATCAGAAACTACCTCGTTCACGATGCCAGGGAAAGGCGATGGGGATAAAGCCTGCTGCAGGCAAGACACAGAACAGTTCTTCTAGAGCTGGATCATGCCCAGGGCTCCTGTCCTGTCTCAAACCAGGGTCTTTCCTCCCTGCAGCCTCCTGTGGGCCCCAGTGAAGCTCCTCTAGAACAGCAGCTAACGTTACAGCAGCCATTCGGAAATGGTACTATGTGGATCAATTAGATCAGAGGCTAATGTCTTCACTCCTTTAAAGCACGGTTTTCAGAAGCTGGACTAATTAAGTATGCATGAGACTATAAAAGCCACTTGTGGCTTTTTTTATGTGGCAGAGACTAATCCAGCACGGAGGGAGCCGAGTGCTGAAGGGAATGGTTGCCTTTACTTAATGGGCAACAGCTAAAGGAAACAGCTGGATAATTAGAGACAGAGACAAAGGGACAGAGATTCCAGGAGGAAAAGAGAGGAGGAAGCTCCCTTACCCTGGGCCAAGTGGAAATGAAGTTAGTGTGAGAAGTGTCAGCATCTGCTGGGCTTCTGCTACATTAACTAAGTGGAGGAGAAGAGGCAGGGAGTGAGAGAAGAAGGGAGGGAAAGAGAGAGGGAGAGGAGGAGGAGGAGGAAGGGAAAGAGTTAGAGAGGACAAGAGGGAGGAAGGGGGAGATCTACATTTCAGAATCTCATGAACTCTTGCTAATGACAGTTCCCAGGGCTGGGCAAAGACACAGTGAAGTGCTTGCTCAACGAGCATGAGAGCCTGAGTTCAATCTCCAACAATCATGTACAAAGCTGGGCATGATGGTGCACAGTTGGAAACCCAGTGCTGGGAAGGTAGTGAGTGCCCCTGGGTTCCCTGGCCAGCAAGCCTAGGCTAAGTAGCGAGACCCAGGTCCCAGCGAAGGACTGTGTCTGAAAAAGCAAGAGAGATGGCTTCTGAGGAAGTTTATTTGAGATTGATTCGATCCCTGGCATTCACCCTCCCCTAAACTCCCACCCCCACACATGCACAGATGCACTTGTACATATGCGCACATCGGGAGGACTTTGATCCATGTTGACATGAGTACTGTGGGGCAGGATGGCCTATGGGCAGACATGTTTGAATCTTCCCTTGCTCTCTAAAGAAGTGGCCCAAGGGATGTTGCCGTGTACCCTTCAGCAAGAATCCAGGTTCTCAGGACTGTAGTAGAAAATTTCAATCTTCTAAGAGACAAATAAGCCCAGATGTTCACTCTGGCTTGGGTGATGGGGCTGGCACCAGCAACTGCAATCACCTGAGGAGCTCTGTACAAATAACAATGCCTGCTCCCTAGGCCTCTGTCACAAAGGTGATGATGCTGACACCCAAGAAGGTAGAGGGTGTTGTATGTATACCTCTGACATATGTGTGCTTAGGGCACTGGATTCCATTGCAAACTAGTCTATTCTTGTAGCTTTGTGGTAGGAGAACCTTGAGGTCAGTATGAACTCCTGATTCAAGAAGTATAAGGTCTAGTCGGGAGATGGATATATCCATC